TGAAGTTGGTTTAATCTACAACCTAAATACTGAGTTGGATGGGGGAAGGGGGATGGAGTCTGCTAAATTTGGATCTCTAGTTCAACTTTAGGATGGAGTTAGCTTCTCTTCTGAGGGGAGGTTTTTGCTTTCTTTCTTTGAAAGAAATGTGTTTCTTACAGTGAGTTGACTTGCCTTGAATCCTTCCTGACATCTTTAGCTCCTTTACTTGGCCAAGGCAGATTGTAGTTTTTAAGTTTAAAAGTGAATAGGGGCAGTTAGGTGGTGCAGTGGATAGAGCACCGGCCCTGAAGTCAGGAGGACCTGAGTTCAAATCCGGCCTCAGACCAAACACTTGATACTTACTAGCTGTGTGACCCTGGGCAAGTCACTTAACCCCAATTGCCTTTAAAAAAAAAGTGAATGAAAAAATGAGCATTCATGGTGGTTTGGTTTGTATGGACAGGGGTAGATTAGCTCACTGAGAATAATCACATTTGTTTGGAGGACTCTGGCAGTTGGCTGTTGCTCCATTGTGCATAACCAATAATTTCACCCTGTAGTAACCCAATGCTCTGATTTCTTTGACTTTCTTTTATTATCCACTTGTACCTCTGTCATCAATGAGGTCAGGCTTGGAATAGGTAGAGCTAAAGGCATATGATTTGAATGGTACCAGGTGTGAGTATTGTCTTTGCTGCCTGCCATTCTACCATAATATGATCACTAGGATAAATTTGAAGGTTTATTGGTCTTCCAGAATCCCCTGTTCAGATATAAATAATGGAAGGGCAGCTAGGTGGTACAGTGGATAGAGCACCGGCCCTGAAGTCAGGAGGACCTGAGTTCAAATCTGGACTGAGACACATAACACTTACTAGCTGTGTGATCCTGGGCAAGACAATTTAACCCCATTGCCTAGACAAATACATATACATATACATACATATATATCTCAAATCCTCAGCAGCTAATGCCTTCATTATCAGCTAACATCTGAGCAGGGCTTAACAGGAATGGAAGGCAGGATCAGACTTGTGGAGATCTGGGACAGGGAAGCTAAGAAGAGAGAGGAAAAGGATACTGACTGGAGTAGTGACAAGGTGACAAAGACAAAGTTATCACAAGTTTGCTTTTGTTTCACAATGTTGCTTCATGCTAGTCCATGGTCCATTTCCAAGGGACTATCAATGAATCATGAGTGAAAGAAAGCCAATTTATTCTTTTTTGACCTACTTCTGGGTGCTCCCATCCTCTGATACCTCAGCCCTTCCATATATTTCCCTCAAAGACTCATATTCCTTGAATTTAGAGATGGAAAGGATATTAGAGGTAATCCTGAACCACTCTTTCATTTTACGGGTGTGGAAACAGTCTTTAGGGAGGTTAATTCACTTGTCTACTTGGAGCAGCGAGATAGTACAGTGGATAGAACAATGGATTTGTGGTCAGGAAGACCAGAACTGAAATCCTGCTTCAGAAATTAGTTGTGTGACTCTGTGTAAGATGCTTGGTAGTCTCGGTCTCAGTTTCCTCATCAGCAAAAGTGGGGGTAATAATAGCACCTACCTTACAGGGTTGTTATGAGGAACAAATAAATAATACACGAAAACTCTTTGCAAACTCTAATAGTCCAAGCTTTAGACTCAAACCAGGATATTTGGACTGGCAGCAAAATGTTCTTCCCACTTTTACATGTTCTCTGTGGCCCTTTTTTCCAAAGGAGGCTCAACCTGGCATTACTTGATGGAGACTTTTGCACAGTAGTGACAGTAGACACTTGTGGAGTTTAATATGACTCCATCTAGTTTACTGTATCCCTCCAGGAGTCATAAGATATGAGACTGTGGCAACTTTGATCTTTGTTTATGTGAATTATTGTATTTAGCTTCAACATTTATTCTGTCTTTCTCGGGCATCTCCCCTTTGCCTTTTAGCTTCTCCTTTATAGACCTCACTCCTCCCCCTTTTCACTCCCAATTCAAGCTCTGACACCAGCTACCCCTCTGAACATGTTCCCTAACATGAACATGTAGCTTCGCTCCCTGCTTTTCGTGATTGACAAGTTTACCCTGAAGCAATTTTAAACCATGAAACAGTTTAGATGGTAACTAACAAGGGGTGGTAGCACGGGATTTGGTACTGGCCTGAAAATAAGGAGCTAAATTAACTGCCGTACAGTAACTTCTTTGTTTGTAGTGGTAGCAGATAATATCAGTGCTTTCCTAGCAGTCTCCATTTGCCAGGGCTTTTCCCAGTATCTCAGAAGTACAAATTCACATTAGCCTGAAACTTGGAAGAGAAGGCAGATTTTCCAACCTGATTTTCAAATTATTCTGCTTGACCACTTGCCCTGTGCATGTAAAATGACAGGCTTTTGTGAACAAACTGTGCAAATGAAATTCTTTTTGATTCAAACACCTCATGGAAAAAAGAAAAAAAGAAACCTTTGACCACTCTCCCCTTCCTCCAAATTTCAAAATTAGTTAATAAATTTTTAACAACTTCAAAGATCACCATGTTTTCCTTCTTGATTTCTTGAAGTGTCTAGTTCCCTTTATCTCCAGCAGCCTCTAGAACTTGTTCTAACATTCAGAAGAAATTTAGAAACAATTCTCCACATACACAGAAGATTCCCTGGAAAGCTAGCTATTGAGATTGTGTACGGAGAACATTCATCCAAAAATCCAAAGTGGCACTTGTCCAATGAAGTGTAGAAGGAACTTTAGGTTAAAGAAACCTACCACTCTCTGGTGGCAGCACCTCCTCCCAGTGCCAGGTTGTTCAATTAGGTCCTGACTGGCCTTTCAAAATAACTCTTGTCTATGACTAGTTGTAGGTGCTTGTGGGAATTCCAAAGCAGAAACAGACAAAGTACTTAGAGGCTATAGTTTCAGCCTAAAGTGATTAGGAGCCTAGAAAAAAAAATCACCTTATGGTCACCCCCATCCCTAAAATTTTATCCTGGTAAAATAGAATAAAAAAGTACATCATTTGTATCCCTAAAGGGGCTGTGAGAGAACAGGCTGACTCCTTTTCCTTGATGAGAATGATAGAGTCCACGTATAGAGCTTTAATGTTGGCAAAGCATTTTCCCCCAAATTATCATGCATGATCCTTCCATGAAGTAGGTGGTATTATCCCCATCATGAGCAAACTGAGGGATTTTCCTGGGGTTACATGAGTAAGTGTTTGAAGCAAGATTGGACCCCAGGTCTTCATGACTCCAAGACCGGTACTCTTATCCATTATGCCATGTTGCTTCTCTGGTGAGGGTGACCAGGACTGACTGTTACTGTGTGTATTTGGACATTTTTAGCACCAGCTGGCTGAGCCATTTCATTCTTTCCTTTAGGTTAGTTCTGAGTAGCAGTGCAGGATAAGGTCCAGGGTTATCACACCACTTCCTAGGAGGCAAACCATGACTTTGGCTGTAGCTCAAGCACTCCTGGCATGGATAGCTAGGTGAGCAGGATATTTTTTTTTCATGGGTACATCATTTCTCTGCTCCCTTTCCCTCTTCAGTTAAGCAACATACCAAGTGATATATTCCCAAAGTAAAAATGTCTGATTATATCACTTTTCTGCTATACTATATAAATTCCAGTAGCTCCTCCCTACTTGCCTCTAGAATCAAATATAAAATCCACTGTTTAGCATTTTAAAGTGTTTCACAAACAGACTCCAATCTACCTTTCCAGAATTATTATATTGTGGTCCTTTTCACGTACTCTATGTTTTAGCCAAATTGGCTTTATGGCTATATCTCACACATGGATTTCTATCTGTCATCTCTTATGTCTTTGCATATCTGGAGTGTCATCCTTCCTCTCATCTGCTTCTTAAGCTTATTTCAGACGCTACCTACATGAGGCCTTTCCTGATTATCTTCAGTGGCTAGTTCCTCATCACACACACACACACACACACACACACACACACACACACACACGTATGCATGCAGGCGCACACACACACACCATACACGTATGTGTATGCATGAGCTTATATACCTACTATACACACATGCACACACACATATGACATATGTGTATGTGTATAGGTGTATATACACACATATATGTGTATAGATATGTGTGTCTTATATATATATATATATGTATACATATATATGTACACATACACACACATATACACATACCTACTCACTTTCTAGGCTAGCTTGTTCATTCTAATCTATCTTCTGATTCCCCAAAAAGCACTAACACATTCAGACTCATATTCCTAAGGGCGACTCTGTTGTAGTGGAATAAACTTCCATAAATCACTACCTTAGTTCGGATGCTCCCAACAGTTTGTCTTCATTTGCACAAAACTAAAAATATAACATCACAGGTACTCATGAATTAAAGGAAATGTAAAAATGATGTGTGTGTGTGTATATCTATATATCTATATCTATATCTATATCTATATCTATATCTATATCTATATCTATATCTATATCTATATCTATATCTATATCTATATCTATATCTATATCTATATCTATATCTATATCTATATCTATATCTATCTATATCTATATCTATATCTATATCTATATCTATATCTATCTATCTATCTATATACATACACATACATACACACACACATAATACATATTTCAATTAATACATGAACATGGGTCACATTTTCCCATGAATACACTCAGCAATACTTAGATAAATCTGTCAAGGAAATATATGAATAAGGAAAACTTTTGTGCTTGAGGGTAATTCACAGCTCTAGAGCTGTACATTTCAGTGTCCTCTTTCTCTCTTAGAATCTATCCATAAAAATTACTTGATGAGCACAGCTTCCTTGTTGAACAGATGTTTCCACTGCTAAGTTGAGTTAATCCATACGGTACTTGATTAACACCTCACTGGGTACGATGTCTTAGCCAAACTAGTTAATTCACTGGGTGAGCTCTTGATTCTTTGCTTCCAAACTATTCTCCTGCTTAGCTTATAGTTAGTACCCAAATTCTAATCGTTTTCTATGACAATATAAATTACCTTTGTCTCATAATCACAGAAGAGTTCTGGTGTTCATATTTTCCCAGTAATTACCCTAAAAGTCCTCCAGTTCTTCAATTCTTCGCATATAACTCACTGAAATACACTGTGTCCTTCATTCACTCCAATATTCTATAGCTCATTCCACCAAAAAATAAGCAACTGCTGTTTAAGTATTCTGAGTCAGACTTAACTTCAGTTAACTGTTCCTCTTAGAACTCTGGGCACACCTATGCCCCAGATAGGTGAATTGTAAAGTCAGACTAACTCAGCAACTGTTCTTTTAAAGAAACAGACATGCCCCAGACGAGTGAACTGTCACTCTCCTACACTTATATAAACTTCTAACTAGCCTTTGATAGTCCTTCTGCCTTCTTTCTCTATTGTTAAAGATTTGAACTAACGGCACTATTGTTTCATCTCTCTATTCTTCCACTAGTTTATGTAAAAAAAAGTCTGATTCCTTTACCTCTGGTCTAAATGTGACCAAATATTTGAAAATATATCAGCCATAGTTGATTTGCCATATTTTTGGAATTAAGAAAATCTGTGTAAATTTGAAGAGAATGGACTCACAGATGGTACAAAAGGTATCCCATTAGGAGAGTTGGATTGCATTATAACTTTGAAGATTATCTTTTAAGATTAAAAAGTACTTCGTGATTACTGTGCCCTGTACATCAGATTATCTAACATTATCCTAGTTCGTAAAAGAAAAGTCCTGGAAAAATTCCTGTCCTTTATGTTTTACCACAATCAAGAGGACAGGGCAAATTATCTATGGAGGGAGAAAGATGGTAGTTACTTCCTCTTTGAGGTAACCAATAATCTGCCTAAAAAGCAAGATTCTGGAGTGGTGTTTCTAAGTTGGTCCCTGTACTTTAGACCTAAGTTCATTATTTCCAAGAAAGACAGCAAAAGATCCATAGACCTCTTTCTGACACAGCAGTATTTTGCTGGGAAGTTTAATTAACAGGATCATTTCTCCTATGTATTTATATTTATGTTTCCTTGTTTTGTGTGTGCCTTTAGTAAGTGGGTTGTATTAAAAGTTTCTAGCCATCTTAAGGCACAGAAATACCAAAGGCCTTAGGCAGTGGTAACATTATCCCAAGGTCAGTGAAAGATGAATCCTTGATAACATACCTTTTCTTGTAGTCTGTTACAGAGGCCACAGTATACTAACACTGTGCTTAACATCTAATGAGATGAGAGTTTGTAAGTCTTGAAGTTATCCATTATTTGAAAATTAAAGTTATGATCATAGAAATCAATCTGAGACATAAATGATCTTTTCAATAGGCATCCCATCATCCTAAGTCAGTTGAATATAAGCTCCATGAGGACAGTGACTATATTTTATCTCAATAGAGCCAGCACCTAACACAGTATATTACACATATATGGAGTGTAATAAATGCTTTTTGTATCCTCAATCCATTAACAAGCATTCATTAAGCATTTCATATATGTGGGGCACTGTGATAAGCTCTGAAGACAGAAAGAAAGGCAAAAGTACTATACTAGCTCTTAAGGAACTCCCATTCTAATGGGGAAGGCTATATGCAAACAATTGTGTACATACCTGTTTTATACTGTAGATGAAAGGTAATTTTAGAGGGAAGGCATAAACAGTATGTGTGTGTGTGTGTGTGTGTGTGTGTGTGTGTGTGTGTGTGTGTGTGTGAGCCTCTTCCAGAAATGAGGATTTGAGCTGAATCTTGAAGGAAACCAGTAAATCCAGGAGGCAAAAGTGAGAATTCCAGGCATGGGGGGAGGCAGTCATTGAAAAGGGATGGAGTCAGGAGATGAGATGTCATGTGTGAGTAAAAACAATAAATCCAGTAGCACAGGATTGTAGAGTAGGTGAAGATGAATGCAAGAAGATTGGAAAAGTAGGGAGAGGCCAAATTATGAAGGGATTTAAAAACCAAACAGAAGATTTTATATTTAATCTTGAGGGTGATAGGGAGACATTGAAGTATGCTGAATGACACTAGTTCTCTAATTGGATCCTTTCATATTCAATGACATTGGATTCTCTAATGCTATTTTTCCTAACTTTCCCCATTCTAATGTGTTCCCTGAACTGTTAATCTCAAATGATTGATGCTCAAGTTCCACTTAACTGACATTGATTAGTTTTTATAGAGGTATTCCCATTACAAGTATAGTAAGAACTGAAGTACAAATATCACCCTGCCCCCATCATAATCCCCAGTATTTGGGGAGGGGGCTCACTCTCCCCTCTACCACCTCAGTCCCTGGGGAGAATGGGCTCAAACTTAACACAAATTTATAGATAAATCTGCGCATCATGTCCGTTTATAAATCCAGCAGGCGCAGTGTGTAGGTGAGCCTGTAAGTCTCTGATTGCTGGATTGGGCCTAGCAGGTTGCTTAGTACTTCACTCCGCAACATCTAGTTTTTAAAAGAAGAGAGGAAAGTAGGTAGCACACTCAACAGAGTACTAGGCCCAGAATCAGGAAGATCTGAATTCAAATCCACCAAACAGGAGAACCTATGATCCTTCATTCACTTTCTATCTTTATGCAAACAGCCAGATCATTAGTTTACCTCATAAAAATTTTGGTTTCATAATTGTATTCCATGGAATATGATGATCTACTAAAGGGGTGGCCATTCCATCGTCTTTCATCCTTGCTACATGGCTCAACCAGAGTCTTGTGAAAGAGTTTTCCAATCTTGTGAAAGACAGTTTTCTAATACAAATGATATCCCACATCTATGGCATTGCACATTTGTCATGTTTTTTTTAAAAAATTCATTCTTTCCTTTGATTAATGAATAAGCAAAATCCAGATGTTTGAATAATCATGAGTAAAACTGCAAAGTTTAATATTTTTGCCCTGATCTTCAAGGGCTTCCCTTCACTGATCAATATTTTATAAATATAAATAAAAAAAAATCAAGGAAGTTTGGGATCTTCTGATTAATTTTCTATCCATCTTGTTATTTTGCTAGTTCTTATTGTCTGAGGTATGTGTGTGTGTGCATTCTATTACCTCCTCTTTATCTTTGAGCTGTATATATAATTAAATTTGACAAGCATTTATTGTTTATCCTATGCATGAGGCGCATATATTGCATGAAGTATGCAGTATTGAACTTGTATTTATCTGTCTTATGAAGCTTCCTCTTCAAGATGAGAAGTGCAAATGCCCTTTTCAATTGCTATGCTTTTCTTGACTATCTGGGCTGGTACTTACATATAATAAGTGCTTCTCTATGAAGAGCCAGTGTATGAGGAGTTCACTATCAACTTCAATGATTCAGTTAAGCAAACATTTTTAAAGCACTTGCTACTGTGCTAGACATGAGGAATACAGAGGTAGATATGATCCAATCATAATTATATCTTTCTAGTCAAGGTGATAGAATGTACCAATGTAGGCTATGAATAGCTTTCTGAAGATTATTCCTCTTCACTGAACTCCTTCATTAGCATAACTCTAAAAACAGCTTGTCCTTGATTCTATATCCAGGGTGTATTTTCTAAATGATATCAACAGATGTTAAACTTACTCTATGACATTCAATATATTTAGTATTCCTAATGATTCCATCAAGTTGGATTCCCTTTTTTGTAGTTCACAAATGCCTAATGTGGTGACTCAGTCTATCTTGCATCTTTCTTCAAGTTTTTAGATTGCTGTTGTAAATGATATTTCCCAGTACCCTAGGGTTGGGGTTTACATGTTCTGCCACCACTCAGTCAATCTTAAGGGTGACCCTACAAAGTTGCAAATAATTGGCTAAATTTTGCTTCCCCCCCCCACTCCAAATAACCTCTGAGAAATCTTAGAATATTGTTCATGCATACACTACGTGACATCAGAACCTCTACATGTATGGGCAAAATATCTCTAGATATTTGAAAAATATCAGCATATCAGGCATATGATAGCCTTTTTTCCATCAAATTTTGCACATATGGAGTTGTGAAAATTTCCAAATGTCTATAGTTTGCAAAAATGCAAATTCAACATAAATGACCTGCAAATGTTTGCCAAAAGTCAGTATCACTTCATGTTTTCTCTGCTGAGCCTTATCTTCTCTCCAGGGTTCAATTATCTCTCTAGACTCATATCTCTATACTCAAACCACACTGAAGATTGAACCTGCTTGGAAGAGAAATTAACTTAGATTTTCTAAGGGATATAACCCCCAAACATTCAGGTGAATCCCTTTATCACTCCAGGGAACTATATAATCCTACAACCATGTGATAACACTTTAAGATTTTGGATTCTTTGAAAACAAAACTTGGAATTTCCAAGCAATTGTGCCACACCATTCCTTCATCATACATACATTCTGATAAATTTCATTTTCACTCCAAAGACTCATTGAGGAATTCCACTTTATGAGCTTGCCTTAAGGACTTGAACTTGCTTGAAAGGAAAGTATGCTAAATTTTGCTAGAGAGACAATTTTCTTTACCATTGGAGCTGCATTGTACAAATAACTCATGAGAAGAGTGAACTAAGTCCAGTTCTTTTGTTTCCTCATGTCATGGTTTTAGTTAATTATTGCTTCTTACAGCTATGGAGAACATTATGCATAACTTTTTTCTCCAAATGGTTATTGTGGTGTGGTCTTTTCACTCCAGATGAATGGATCCCCAAACTCTTGAAATTGTGGATGCTAGAGAGGCAACCTTGAAACTAGCGCTATCCAAGGGCTAACCCTCCTGTCATTAGTAGTCTGAATTCCTGAACTCTCTAGGAAATTTCAACATTCATTTAGATAGCCAGGATTTATGTGCTTCTCTTCTTTATAGCTGCTATCTGCCATCTTAAGAGGTAATGCTGCTCCCTCTTCAAGGATGGAATTGCCAACCTAAGGTTCAAGGTTCAGATATGGGTGAGTTCCTATATACTTTTGCCCCAAGTCAACCATTACTCTCCCTGACCTCCATGGCTCTCTCTTGTTCCTGTTGCTTTCAGTATACCTTCCCAAAAGAGATAAAGGCAAAAATGATCTATCAGGTCTGTTGGCTTTCTATTATATTACAAATCTTATGCAAAGAGTTGGCTCCACCTCAGCAGACTAAGACATCCAGTTTGTTGCCACTCATTCAGCAACAGCTCAATAGACTCATCAAATTAGTTAGGGAACTCTGT